GGGGGCGGCTGTGCCGCCTCTTCCTCGTGGGAGCCAGACTGGCCGGCTCTGGCCCATGCCAGCCAGGGGGCACCCGGGCCAGCGGGTGCTGTGGGGCCTCCTCAGCACAGCGTGGTCTCCCCACAGCCCCCCAGAGGGGGTGTCTGACCTGGAGGATGGCTGTCTGGGGTGCCCCTGGGGGGAGGCAGTGATGAGGCTGCGCGCCAGCCTTAGCCAGAATTGTGTGTGTGCTCCTGTCACCGGCAAGCCTTGAAGGCGGTTTGCACAAGTGGGACTGGGCAGCTCTGCCCGCAGCCAGCGAAGACAGCCGGGGCCTGGGCTCGGCGCCCACAGCCGCCCCTGGAGCCTGGCCGCTGAGGTGCTTGCGAGGCTCCGGTGGGCCTCTCACTCAGTGTGGGAGCTGGGAGAAGTCACCGTCCCGAGGGCCGGCCCTGGCGGTGCGGGGGTGGAGCACAGCACTGACAGCTGTCCAGGGCACTGCAGCAGGGTCTGATCCCCAGCCGGGGGTGACCCACAGGGCTGGATGCCCGGAACCAGAGAAAACGCTGCCTTGGAACTGAGCGCCTTTTGCTCCCGGCAGCCTGACCCGGAGACCGTGGCTGGCCCGTGGTCTGGCCTGTGCACGCGCGGCACCTTCTTCCCGTGGGAGGGACACGGGCCTCTGAGACTACGCCAGGCTGGGACGTAAGCGGCCACAGCCTGTGCGCCCTCCTGCGCCCGGGCCCGCCGCCCTGCCCAGCCCGGGGCTGGCCTCACACTGGGCTGGACAGCCCGCACGGTCACGGCCAGCCATGGGGCGGAGCTCTCCGGCCACCACCATGGGGCTTCATCAGCGGCAGGTGGCCTCGTGCTCTCTGCCCGTTTTCTGCTCTTGCGTCCAGGCCTTCCGCTGTGTGTGGACGCTGGCCTTCGTTGGCTGCGTGTTTTGCAGTGTTTCCTCGTGGCCCGTGTCTACAGAAGCCTCGGATAGGGACAGGAGTGGGCCTCTGGGTCAGTCCGGAAGGGATCCGTCTTTTTTAGGAGGATGCTTCTGGCCGTGACACGAAGTGTCCACTGGCTTGGTCTCCGCTGGGCCCTTCAGTACCGTCCAGCAGTTTCTGCCCGCTGAACTGTGTTCACTAAGCTGAGGCCAAGCGCGGAACTCGCTGGACCCGGCCCTGCGCTGGCCTCAACTCCACGTCCACAGGTGTGTGGTTGGCCCATAGCCCTGCTGGGGGCCTGGTCTCCGGGGCCTCTGGCCAGGCCGGCTGGCCGGAGCCCCGCCCCGTGGGGAAGCCGGCGGCGGGGCGCCAGAGCCGTCGGGAGCGGAGGGAAGCGCGAAGGAGGTGGCAGG